AAGCTACCATGGTTAATTACAGAAAAAGTAAGTTATTCATTTTCTGATAATTATGTCAGGCTGGTGCTTTGTCACCAGGGAGCCAGCAACCAGGCCTACTTGATCTTACCTGTTTACAATTTCCCTTATTTTTGGAAACATGTTTTTTGTTGTCTGTTGCTATTTGTATTAACATTATGATAATCATAATGCTAGTACTAATAATGATAATGATAGTAATAATGATAATGATAAGTATATCAATGATGATAATAAATATATCAATGATATTGATAATGATAATGATAATAATAAGTTATTAATGATAATATTAATAATAATAATAATGATAATAATAAGTATATCAATGATGATAATAATGATAATGATAATAATAAAGATAACAATATATCAATAATAGTATCAATAATAATAATGATAATGGAAATGATAATAATCATAGAAAAAAAGGAATGGTGTAATCATGTAAGGTCAAGTAGGCTTAATTGACCCCTTGGTGATAAGTTCCTGTGGAGCCTTCTGTGTATAAACAAAATTCACAAAACGGAACTACTGTGGACATGTACCCAGTAGCAATATCTTGATAGCAGTGTATCTATAAAAGCCTAACAAAATAAATGATCTGTTCAGGAGGAATAGATTCTTAACATATTTGTGGAAAAGTAAACAGTATCTTAGTCAAGCAGATTAGCAGATTTTATGTGAAATGGCATATTCTGGATATGAGGATTCTATGTATTGAAATATATCCTTTTGACAACAGGATGAACTCGAGCGAGAGGACTTACGACACCTCGACATCTGTTCTGTTGATCCTATAGGCTGCACTGATATTGATGACGCTCTACACTGCCGTGAACTCCCAAATGGAAACTTTGAGGTATAATATATCTGAGATACATTTTCATGTTTATTTTTTATTTGTTGGTATTATTTGCATATATGTGTGTGTGTGTGTATCAGTTTGTGTATCAGTGTTTGTCAGTGTGTCAGATTATGTATTGTATTGATGCCTTCATAAATCTTGTTATTATTTACACAAGTTATCATTTACTTCTTAAATATGTACTCACCCCATACTGTATTCCACCATTCAACAAAGACACTAATCTGTTTCAGGTTGGTGTCCACATTGCTGATGTATCTCATTTCATCCGGCCACACACTGCATTGGATAAGGAGGCTCAGAACCGCAGCACAACTGTGTACTTGACTAACCGTCGTATCGACATGGTTCCTGGTGAGTTATACATTTTATGCAGCTGGTCATTCTTTGTCTTGTCTTCTACATTTTCTTTTGTGGATGATATAAATAATGTAGAATGCAAATTTAGATTCTCTCAAAGCGCTGATGATAATGGTGTAACTTGTATATGTATTTATTTTATTCATAAATCATTGTTTATATATATATATATTTTTCCTTTTGTTGTGGAATTGCAGTATATGTAAGATCATAAAAATGCTTTTGTTTTAATTTTTTATCCTTTCTTTGCCAAATATATTTGTTTTACCATCGGGAATAGACCAGTATATGCCACAGTATATTTGAGCTTAGTGCATTTTTTCTTTGTATAGTTTTTATCTTGTTTCGTAGTAGTAATGATAGCAATCATCCTCAACCCCTGAACTGAACTTTGTGCAATTTGTTCTCTCCCTCTGGTAAGGACACATTTGCAGACGTGTGGTCATTTGCAAGTGCAGTTAAACTAAAAGTGCACCAGACTTAGCCCAAGTTCCACTAGCCAGACTCTAAGCCAGCTTCTCATTTTGGTTCTATTACAGTGGCATTCTTCCACTTCTGATGCATTAATGCTGGCTGTAAAACATTTATTTTATGGTGTTATAACAACTTAACCCATTAACGCTGGTATATTTTGAAGCTGAAAATAAAAGATTCCGTGCGGTGGCTACAAAATTGGCGGGCAGGGCTGCCCCGGACTCTGCTTGCTCGCTGCTGCATCGTAGCACGAGCCCCGATACTGCGTCTTGCTGGCAGGATGCTCAGCAATGTTTATTTTTTCGGATGTCTCATATGTGGGTTAATTGACCACTAAAATGATCATGGACCCTAAGTCCTCCCTGCTTACAAAAGAATTAGCAGGATCTGAACAAAGTACAGCCTAGTCCTAGCTTGCAAAGTATCCCAAATAGTATGCCAAGGCCTGGTCAAAATGACAGTAATGGTGGATCTCAGGATCAGATAAGGCTTGTGTAACTTCAGCTTAAGGGAAGTGCTTTGTGAGGACTGCACGCATAACTGGTCGTATGGAGAGGATAACATGGGATTTTAGAGGGGGCTGGAAGCAGACAATTATATGGGAAGGAGACTGGGTCAGCAAGGTGTAGCACTACTTCTGTTGACATCACATTATTATTGTTATTCATGTATTTGTATTTTTTCAGATCTTTTGAGTAGTAACCTGTGCTCACTTCGAGGCAATGTTGACAGATTTGCCTTCTCTGTCCTGTGGGAAATAACACCCAAAGCAGAGGTTTTATCGTCGAGGTTAGTCTAATGATTGTTGAATCTGAAAAACTCTTGAAATTAATGTACAGTTTTGGTTTAATCAGTGAATTTCTTGAATTTGTGGAATTATGCACATTCAAGTCATTTTTAAACGAAGGGCTTTATATACTTTGATATACCCCTATTCTATCAGATTCCGGAAAACAATCATCCAGTCAAGAGCTGAGATGAGTTACCAACAGGCCCAGCAGCGCATTGATGACCCCAATATGACAGACAGCTTAACGCAGTCCCTTAGAAATTTGAATATGCTTGCCAAACAGCTCAAGAGCAGGAGAATCAATGATGGGTAAGTTGTGAAGTAGAGCTTGGTTTTGATGGAAACTTTCCTTTGGCTTTGTGTCGGTAGATTTGTAAAAAAAAAAAAAAAAAAAAAAAAAAAAATGCTGTTTTGGCCATCTTGGATCTTCTTTTTGTTTTTTTTTTATTTTTATGAATATTTAAAAAAAGAATCTTTGTCTCTTCTTTTCCTTTTTACTATTTTTTTTTCTTATTCTTTATCTTTCTTTTTCTTTTTATTTTTCTGTCTTCTCATTTTGTCATCTTCATTATGTATTTATGTTTTATATATATATATATATTTTTTGCTATTCATTTGCATATTACACGATATGCTTATTTATTTGAGAATTTCCTCTTGGCATCTTCATCATGCTCTATAATTGGTGTATACTGGTACACTTTGCATATATCTGGAAAAAAAAGACAGACCCAGAAAATAAGTTCAGAAGGAAGTGTGCATGAAAGCACATTCTTCATTAAAAATGTATAGATAATGGGTCATTTTTTCAAACCCATTTTCTCCGCAAACAGTGCCCTGGTGTTGGCCAGTATGGAAGTGAAATTCCACATTGATCCAGACACAGACACGGTTGTTGATATTGTGGCCAAGCAGCACCTGGAGACCATGAGCATGGTGGAGGAGTTCATGTTGTTAGCTAATGTAACATCGGCAGAAACTACACTCAAGGTTAGTATTTTATTGCAGATGATAGAATGTTCTTCGAGGATCAGCTTAAGTTTCCGTGATAGATTTATTGATGGAGCATCTTTGTTTCTTCAGAATATTATGAAAAGAGTTTATGATACTGTGATCAGTTTGTTGTTTTCTATACTCATTCTGAAACATGATATAACATTTTCTCTTTCGGCATTTCTATCTACACAGTTGTGTCAGTATTTAATAATAATGAACACATTTGTATGTGTATATGTATTATATGTTGTTGTGTGTATGTGTGTGTGTGCGAGTGAGAGAGAGAGAGAGAGAGAAGTAAATGGTATTTTTTGTCTTCCAGCACTTCCCAGACTGTGCTCTGTTACGTCGTCACCCTGCACCACCACATTCAAATTTCGAACCCCTTCTGTTAGCAGCAAAGAGTCAGGTTAGTTCATACTGAGGAAATAATGTTTAAAGATGTTGCAAGTGATTCAAGAAAGAAATAGTAAAGCAGATATATAGAAACAAAATGAAACGGTAATATATCATTGTTTTCATTTTCAATCTTGCATGTTTTCCTTTGGTAGGATATCGAATTGGATGTCTCGTCCAACAAGGCCCTCGCCAATAGCCTCGACAACGCCACCCGCGACAACAACCCATTCTTTAACAGTATGCTGAGAATTATGACAACACGCTGCATGATGCAAGCTGTGTACTTCTGTTCTGGAACACTTGAGCCGGGAGAGTTTTACCATTACGGTTTGGCCACACCCACATACACCCATTTCACCTCACCCATCAGAAGGTTAGTAATAGCTTACATAGAATTCCTTAACAGAATGGAATTTTTTGCTGAGTTGTGATAGCATCATAGGAGACTGTTATGATTAAATTTTATATAAAAGTGATGTATTATGGGTCTTAAAATAATCTTTTAAAATTTTTCCAACAGCTCATATATCTTGTCACTGTCTTGTAGATGTAAATGCAATGCTTAGGTACTCTTAATTAAATATCTACTAAAATTATGTGCACTTACCAGCTAAATTGCTTTTTTTTACACAGCAAATTTATTAGAAACAAGCATTTTCAGTCAAATATGAAATACTGACCTGTTTCACCATTTTACCTGCAGATATGCTGATATCATAGTGCACAGGCTTCTGGCAGTAATTATTGAGGCAGACAAGACTTATCCAGAGTTGTTAGAGTCCAAGAAGCTAGCTGAACTGAGTCAGCACATCAACTACAGACACAAAATGGCTCAGTATGCTGGTAGAGAGTCATCAGTCATTACGGCAATAGTGAGTTCAGTATTAAGATTTTTTCAGTGTAGTTGCAGAATGAAACTGGAATTCCAACTTAGATTTAGATACCCCTGGTATCTGGTCAATCCTACTGACCAGATCTACACGATAGATGATAAACTTCTCCATGTTTGCACATTGTAAATTATTAAATACAGATGTTCAGCCATAGCACTGAATTATATCTTTTTGTCTCACATTTCTGAATAGTTTTTTTTTTTTTTTCTCTTACGTTTCTAGGCATCACTCAAAGGCAAGGTGTCAGAATTTGAATCCTATGTGTTGTTCCTACACAAGAATGCCATTCAAGTACTTGTGCCATCAATTGGTCAGCAGCTGACACTGTACCTGGACAGTAAGAAGAAGCCAGAGAAGGATGATAAGAAGGATGACAAAAAGAAGGGAGGCAAAAGAGCCGAGACTATGGAGGTTGATGATGATGTTCCTGCACCTGAGTTTGAATTCAATGAACAGGTTTGTGTTTCTGTTTTTGCCTCTTTCTTTCTTTCTTTCTCTCTTTGTTTCTGTTATATTTTTCACTCCTCTTTCTCATTTCTTTCATACTACAATATGCATATCCCATAAAATGCTGGAAGTGATCTGCTAGGTCATTTATATCTCATTGTACATTTACCCATGATTAAGGATACCCTTAAAGTGTTCATACCAACAAATTTCCTTTTAAAAAAAGATAACGTCCTTCTCTCTTCTCTCTACAGGAACTTTACATCAAGTGCGGGCCAGTAGTAATTCGTCCCTTTGACCAACTCTTCATACAAGTTACCGTTGATTCCTCTGACGTCCAGCATCAACGTGTGGTGAGCAAGCTGATACATCCTGTGATTCCTGGGTTCTCCGTCCCGTCCACAAAGAAGGATGAAGAGGTCCCTAAAGTCAATCTGATTAAAAAAAGGAAAACATAGACTCTACACTTTGTTGAAATATTGTAGAGCAAGGAAGCTTACATTTCTTTTATTATAATTATTTTTTTCATGGATTTTTTTCTTTCTTTTATGATATAATTGTTGTTTTCTTTTTTCTCTCTTTATCTCTCATCTTATGACAAGTACAAACACTATCTGATATGTTTGAAATAGACTATTATATAAGAAAAAATTCTTTCTCTTATTTTAATGTTTTTTTCATCACATAGACCTTTTATTATTGTCATTATTATTATTATTGTTATCATGAATATTGTTTATTCCCCGCGTTATTGTTTCCAGTAATACACACATACATTCACTCTGCTGTTTTCTCTCTTTTTTCCTCCATTTGTACAATGCTGCTCAAAAAGGAAGCATATTTATATATTGTAAGTAATTCCAATAGATCAGTTTTCTAATATAAGGATTTTTACTGATACTGTCGTTTTTATTCTACCTATTATAAGAAAAAGGAAAGCCATTCTGGTGGTACCATATGCATGATTTATGAATTTTAAACATTTTGTAAGCTGAAAATGTCATATTGAGTGTATTTGAATATTTGATTCAAGCTAACTCAATGAAACATAGCCTCTCCAACCTAGTGGACTGTTCTGCATTTTTTCACCATTATTTGGAGGTAGGGGAGGTGAAGAAAGAAATTTAGATGCTCATGTCCCCATTTCCCTGTATCATTCAGACAAGTACCCCCTCATAGGGCCTCTTTTGCAAAGGAAATGGAAGTAATAAGTATAAAATGAGAATAAGTAATTAAAATGTACTCTTAAATATGACATTAGTTTAACAATTTTGCAGTAGTGGTTATTCACCTAATTTTCCTAGCTTGGGGCTCTATTCACATAACCCTCTTGATCCCCATATTTTCTTGTGTTGGTCAAAGTTGCAATACTGCTAGGAAAGTTATTTATTACAATGTTTCACAACTATTACACCTTAATCACTAATAATTTTTCATATTCTTGTTGAGTATGAATTATGAATTAAGATCACTGTCATATTGTAACAGCACAAAATTATATTTTACTGTTTCTTGTGGAACTCCTCGTGACAGCTGGCAGAAACCCAGGATTCTGCAAAACCACAGTTAGGAATCATTGATCTAAAAAAAAGATGTGGTCCTTAAAATTTCAACTTTATTGGTAACTAGATGCAATTCACACTATTACATATCTCCTTGTTTTAAATTAAACAATGTACACAATCATAGAGTGACCCGATTATGGGTAACACATTCTGCTACACAAAGACTACGGACAATACTAAACAACACAAACAAATTATAGAAAATGGAATGTTAACATCACATTCACTGCACATGCAAATAACGTAGAAAATCATACTAATGCCATCTTACAAACTGTATCACCAATGAAATCACATACGCATTTGGCACTAACCTTCCACGTGAGCAAAACACTTATAACATGATTATCTGTTGTGCAATAAAGAATACAAATTATGCAAACATATCTAAGAAAAAGGTATCAAATGCAAGATTTAAATGCCTTTTTAGTATAGAAAAATCCTTTGATAATGCACAGGAATATGAGCAACTTTTATCTAACACTGGGTTAGCTTGTCCTTATGAGTTTCTATTACTATCCAGAATTAATTTTGATATTTTCCAGCATTAATTTTGATATTTATTTAGTGCAATTATTTACCTAATGCTAAATAGTTTTTCAATGTAATCCACACAGAAATGCGCCTTATGTTTTTCTTCAACAAATAATCATTTGAAGGACAGTATTTGGTATCTTAGAAAACAATCATTTATATAGAGGTTCTCAAATAAGCAAAGGGAAAATGTCTATAACACAAAACATACAAACAACAAAATTATATTGCACTGCCACAAGAAAGTAATATAAGAATAACTTCTTCAAAACAAAACAAAAAACAAAAGAAAAAAAAAAAGAAAATAAAACAAAATTATCACTCTTTTTGGCACAGCTTTTTTATATATACTATTTCACTTTGTCCTGTTTTTTTTCTTCCTTTAAATCTTCCCTGATAATGAAATACATTTCTGCCAAGCCAACCACCAATGCAGCCAGTGTAGCTACCAGAGCCCTCACTCCGTAGTCCGGGGTGGCCATACCCAATGCGATAAAGACAGCAAAGAAAGTGCCAATCACAGACAAGAGGTACTGAAGCCCTGATATGATCTGCCTATTAACAATCCGCATCTCTTTCCCAATCTCTCCAAGCTGTGTTCCATCTCCCTGGTAGACATTATCCACACTTTTGACCATGTCCTTGTAGTCACGGTTCTCTTGCTCGAAACGCAGCCTTTGGATCCTGGCTTCAAGTTCTGGGCTCCTTGGGGGTGGTTCATACTTGGGTAAAATGATCTCGCTCTCTGCTAGTAATTCATGGACACGCTCTGGGATGCCCCTTTCTCGCATCTTCTCGTGACACCACTTGATCTCCTGTGTTGTCAGCTTGATCTCTTTTCCTGCTATGCCTTCACCTGCTGGGATCTTCTGCTGGATGCTCTGTGGGCTCCCAAATGCATCTCTTAACTCTTGCAGAATTTGGACGAACCGTTTAGAGGGTATAATGAGCACATGATCCTCCATTTTGGTCATGTTAACCAAGACTTGTGACAGCTACAAAAATAAGTTTCTTTGACGAATTAGAATCCTGCACTTTTCTCAAGAGTCTCAAACTGTGCTCTCAGAGCCTGTTCCTTCTCCAGGTAGTTGTTTTCAAGGAAGTTGAGTTTCTCTTGTACCTCCTGCTGAGTTGCTGTGAGCTTGCTTTTCCTCTCTGCTCTCTTTTTTGCCAGAAGCTCCTCCTAAGGAATTAAAATGTTTAATAAAAAAATTTCATTATTGTTTTTATAAGCACACATACACACTGCATACCCTAAAACTCATCTGCATTACATTTTGAAATCATTAATCAAAGTAACCTTGCCACATTACTAAACCTACAGAAAAATCTGATAAAAACTGTCTCTATTTTTTGTTCACTGGGATTTTCCCCTTATCATCATTAACAAAGAATCCTCTCTTGAAAGAGGGAAGTTCTTACCGAGTTAAATTTCTTCTCAGTGTCAATGGTATCTTCTAACATGTGGAGAGCCACTTGAATGTCTGCAATTGTGCGTGGGAGATTGTCATCTGAGGAGTTGACTATCTTCTCAATCTGTAAAGATTACAACACATCATAAACCTAAAACAGCAAAACTGAAAATGGTCAAATCACCATACTCATGGCTGAATACATTCAAAAACATTAATAATATCTATTTCATTAATATTCTTTCTAAAGATAATCGTACCTGCCCCTCCTTTATCTCTGTTATTAGTTCAAGAGATCGGAAGAGTTGCTCCACCTCTCTGTCTCCTCGTTTTTCCTGGAAATAGATATTCGTCCTCAGTCTCAATCAAATAAAAACTACTCTTCATCATTATCTTCACTCAATTTCAATCACTCTATAATCCAGTTAACTATTTCAATAAACCAATAACATGCCTATAATACAAATTCAATACAATTATTCTTACCTCAAACTCTTTTTTAAAATACTCAATTTCCCCTTTCAGGAATGGTCGATGATCAAATAATCTTGAAAAAACCTCATTTACATCTGGGGAGAAAAATGAAAGGAAATAAGTATTAATATATGAAACAAAACAAATATCCAACTGGATGCATTATAAAAATCTTGAACAAGGAATAAATATTGACTTCTATGGCACAATTTCTATATCATTCATTGATTTCTGAAATGCATACTGTAATATTTGTTTTTTATGAATTACAAAAAACACGTGAAAATTGTATTGCTAAAGGCAACTGAAATAAGTTACATTTCAATAACACGAACCAAATTGTAATTTAGACAGAACAAGTAAAAAATCTGATATTTTACATTCAAACTTAATAATTCCTTTTGTGAACTTTTACTAACAACTGAGACATCTTAACATAAATGTCCAACCATATATGAAGGAGAGCAACACTAGCAAGTTACCATGTGTGTTAAATATATCAATCGCTGATGGATACAACATTTGCTTGACACAAAGACTGTCTTTAGATAATTAATTGATATCAGTGTTAGGTATGTATTCCTGAAGTATGAACCAATATATAGTAGGTTACTGGGAGACTAGTAATGGAAATGAAACTGATGATCTGGTCATCAGTTTCATATGGGAATAGTTGTTGAAATCATATAATCATAATTTGTGGAAATACTCAAGTGTTCTTCTTATTCCAGCCAACATACTATAGGGAACTTCCAAGGAATTCAAGTCTCTAAGTAGGGTGAGAATGTGGTTAAATTTACAGACTGACATGTAACTGGAAATGACAAAAAATAGAGAAATAGTCTTTTTTATCTTCAAATATAAACTGGAAAAATGACACTTAAAATGAAATTCAATCAAGGGTTTTTTGAACTGGTGTTGCACATATGGATTCTCTACATTCAGGTACACAGCTTTTCACAAAGGTTCTTTGTATGCACAATAACAAAAAATCCCAAGCCAGAGATAAATGCATTCCCTAGCCAGGGGCTCTAATCACATAAACCCCTCTTGGATCACATTATTTCCTTATTGTGGAGGGCAAAAGTGTGCCAAAGCTGGGATGAAGGTGTTGAAAATTTTATTACCATCAAGTGGGAGCAGCTGAAAATATGCATCTGGACTGACTGGTTTTGCACTTCACTGAACTTAGTATGATTCAAGAGATTATGACAATGTGGTTAAACCTTCTTTTCATAGGAATATCTGTAAAATAATTCATCATATAAAAAGAAACATTAATAGAAGACTTTGCTTCAGAAGTGCTTCATGAGTAATGTATAAAAATGACTGTCTGGTCATGATATCACAACATATTCACTGACAGGTTATATTGGCTTACCATGCAGGTAAGTTGTTTTTTGTTAGGCAAGATCAGAAAAACTTCTTTGGGAGATAAGTGGGTACTCATCGCTATAATTTTTCCGTCAGTGTGGGTTAATCTTTGCCTTTTGACCAGCTAATGATTATACTTTTCCATGCATTTCAGTGTATTGAATATTACTTTTACCATTTCCTTACCTCCTTACCACAAAGGCAATCCACATAGAAATTCTTAGCTCACTATTGCAAGAGTTTCATGTGCTAAACTATGTCAGATCAAGAAGTTTAACACATAATAGTAGCAATATCTAACAAAGTAACTGTATAGCATAGGACCATAAGAAGCAATGCTGTGACTTCCATAGTTTGGGCTACAGAAAAGACCAACAAATCTCTTCCACATCCAATCTGATCAGGTTTCCTTTTAATTAAATTGTCAGAATATACTTGGTGGAAGCTTCCTTTGCTGGTTAGCAAGGCACACAATCTATAGAATACCTGGACGTAGTCACAAGAGGATAGATTGAGACTTTGATATGTGACTGCGGCTATACTGTTATAGTCAGCAGATTATTACTCTTTAACTGTTTTGTGTTATTTAAGGCTACAAGCTTACTTATTTCACGTGTGCGCCCTCCTATTCTGAATATCTACCTTGAGCGAAAAAACAAGTCGCTACACCATTCTACTGAATACTACCTTTCACATATTCTTGCTTCTCTCATGCAAAACTCGGTAACAAACATCATGAATACTTCACCTATGATTCACCTGTCATACAATTCCCTCTCTAACATTTGAAAGGTTTTATCAGTAGAGTGCAGTCGCAAATTCTAAAACCCTCACTACGTATTGTCTATTCCCTATTGCAAACTTAGAAAAAATAACGAGAAACAAACAGAAAATATAGCAAAAAGTAAATAAAGATTTCGCATTACCACTGGCTGCCGATGCCATACTTGTTTACATCTCAGAGCCGAGTGTGTCCGTAATACTAAGGACTTTTTAATATAAAGTTTTACTTTTTGTTTGCGTCAATTATTACATAGGAAGTAACGCCATTTAATTAACCTATTTATTCTACATTATCAGTACTTTTATCAGTTTATGAAATGTAAGGGCTAGGGCAAATAGGAAATAATGATGTACTAAAGTCAGAAAACACAGAAACGGACAAAATATCGAATCACAAGATACGTTCGTGTCTGCGCATGACTAATCCGCGGTGACGTCACAATATTTGGCATATGTAAATAGTGTACTTGAGAATGTGTATATCTTAAGGTAGAATGGTAGGAATACTACTGAATATATAATCCATTGTACTCTTCTGTTCTTTTTTAAAGATACGATAATCAAGATTAATAGCAACGGTATATGCATTTTTTCTATTTCTCTCGTTTTCCCAATTTAACTGCTCTCATCCCGTTCTCTCTCTCTCTCTCTCTCTCTCTCTCT